TTAAAAATCACATTGTATGGTTTGGCCCTTATTCTTGCCCATCCCAACTTGTTACATTTGGCGCAGACCTCCCTCTTTCCATTTCCTCCACCTGCTCCATGACTCTCCATGCAACACTTTCAAAGTGAGCCTGACCCCCTGGTTCCCGAATGGGTTTCTCTTGCTCACTCGTTCACATCTAACAAGTGGCCCAGGGACATCCTCTGATCTTTGACTGCCACCTCCACAATTGTTAGGACTTATGCTTAATTCCCTCCATCCCACCTGACCAGACTCTCAATCCTTTCCACAACCCGTTGTTTCCAAGCGGCAGAAACTTGGGCAGCCCTTTCCCCTTATGACAGCAGCACAAACTTCTCAGGAGAGAGTATCTGGGTCTCCTGAAGAATGTCTTCATTTCCCACCCGTCTTTCTTCTGGCCTCAGACTACAAGGGGACATTTCATAGTGCTCATCCAGCACCAGCACCTGTGGTATAGAATGTGCAGAAGGCAGGCCAAGCAGCTCACCACACTTTGGGGTAGTCCTCACCGGCCATATTATTCTCTCTGCCCATCAGGGAACATCTCAAACATTTCTTCATTGTGGTTACTTCACTGCCCTTTTAGATGCCCTACAACATGGACAATGTGAGCTTTATAACTCATCCGATTCAGCAACCTGTCCCTTTTTTCCACCTGCATCTGGTTCACCAGCTGCCCACTAGGGTAGCCCCGCCTTCCAACTTCTTTTGGCTTGAACTCCAGTTGGACACAGGTACCTTCCCCTGCCAGCCCCAGAGGCACACAGCTGTGCTCTCCTCTTGGGTCCCCTAAATGTCCTACCTCAGGCCATTATCATTATCATTAAGGCCAGCCCCAGGATCCCTGTACATCAATGTTCCCCCTAAGCTGAGTTAGTGTGAGCCAGCTCAGTTTTTTAGCCTCCGGCTCACACATTTTTATCTTGGCTCAGGAAGGAGGGCTGCAGAGCAATCTAATTCATGCGGTAGCCAAATCGCTTGCTCACAACTTTAATGCCAGTAGCTCACAAAGGAGAACTTTTGCTCACAAGACTCCGCAGCTTAGAGGGAGCACTGCTGTACATTTTAAAGTGGTGTCTAATATTTCTTCTTTCTGTGTAGAGCAAGTCAATTAATGTTTTAAAAGGACAAAGCGAACCAAGGCCAGAATCTACTGGAACCCTCTTCTGCAGTTTCTCTATGAAAGTGAAAAGGAGATGCATAGGAACAGTTCTGGACCTTGTAAAAAAGTAAGATACAAAACAAAACATTAGTTAATAAGCAAAAACCTGGTTTTCCTGTAAAACAAGTTCAGAGTTGCTTTTATAAAGCAAGATATTCTAAATGAAATTGTTGGGGTAAAATCTGCACGCGAACTGAAAATGAGCGGATTGTCTTCCAATATGGCTTTCGTAGACCACTCCTCAAGGAATAAGCCACAAACAAAGGCTAAAATCAAGACTAAGTTCGGGATAGTAAGAAAAAGCAGAATTAGTCTCCCCCCAAAACAATTATCCACACAAATGGGAATTTTCCTAATTACCTTAATGCCTATCAACCAAATGATGCCTTTGACCCAGTACAGACATAAGATAAACCAGGGTTCAGGGATCTACAGTGGGCTGTGGGTTTGGTGCTTCATCTCTCCAAATGCACAGTTTCATGTGACTTGTCAAATCAGTGCTGCATCCAGATATCATTGGACATTGTGCTTTCATTGCACACTGGCCGGTCTGCACAATAGTCCAGTTATGAGTGGCCGCTATAGTGCAAGAGAAGCACTATGATCCAATGATGAGTGGTTGATTTTAATAGTATCCATTACCTAGACTGTATAACAAAGTTTGAGTCCAATGGCACCTTTAAGACCAACAAAGTTTTATTTAAGGTGTAAGCTTCCGTGTGCAAGCACACTTCCTCAGACAATTTGAAACAAATAAATTTCAAGCCTTTCATACAGGAAGATGGGGGGGGGTGGGCAAAGCTTCCTCTAAGCTGTGGAGTTTTGTGAGCAAAAATCCTACTTTGTGAGCTACTGGCATTAAAGTTGTGAGCAAGTGATTTGGCTACTGCGTAAATTAGTTTGTTCTGGAGCCCCATCCTTCCTGAGCTCAGACAAAAATGTGTTAGCCGGAGGCTAAGAAATTGTGAGCCAGCTCACACTAACTCAGCTTAGAGGGAACACTGGGGGTGGGTGGGTTTGGAAGCATTAGGAAGGACCAGTTAGAGTTAAGATGCATAAGTGAAGCTGAGATTGGATGAAGGCGGCAAGATCAATGAACGGCAGCAAATTAGCCCGCAAATATGAGAGCTAACCAAAAGATGTGAGAATGAAGCCCGAGTCCAGTGGCAGCCTCAGGACCAACCAAACTCAACCCTGGGTACATGCGAGAACACTCTGCATGTGTAGATGCACCCTTTTTCAAAGCTATAGAAACAGATTTCCTCAAATATTACGTACAGGTAAGGTCGGTCGGTCACCCCCCACCCTTCCTGTATGAAAGGCTTGAAGGAATTTTGTTTCAATTTGTCTGAGGAAGTGTGCTTGCACACGGACGCTTACACCTTAAATAAAACTTTTTTGGTCTTAAAGGTGCCATTGGGCTCAAACTTTATTCTGCTGCTTCAGACCAATACGGCTACCCCCACTTAAAAGTAGACTGTACAGTTCAGAGAGTAACAGAAATTATGCTTTAGGTATCAAATGGTGAGACAATTTGCTCTGCATTTTGTTTAGCAGCAGCTTACTTACTCATTCCCCTAAAGGACAAAGCAGTAGCCTACTACGTGCATAATTTAAAACATATTGGCAAAATCTGTAGAAAACACTATGTCAAGCAAGCAATCCACTATTTTAAACAATTCTCTTACCATCTCTTTAAAATATCCCCCAAGGCTTACAACGTATTCCTGCAAAAACCTTTAGTTAAAAGATCACCCCTATTAAGGCAATCCATTTTCTTTGCTCCTTCTGGTAGTTCCTTCAGAGGATTAACTCTGTATGTTCTGTACTGAACGAGCTCATAAAACCAGAAGGGATTCTTTCCCATCATATTGGAAATACGATTAATTTTGTAGCAAAAGCCTACTTGTGATAACTTCATGCAGAACAGTTCTATTTTATATTTTAACAAAACGATAGTTCTTCTTGTTAAATGAGATTAATGGAAGGCTCAATATTATATGATGCCTTGAGAGCCATTTCCTTTTCTTGATGATCTCTTCCTGAAACTAGAACTACAACCTTCTGTTATAAATAAACGGTCTAGCAAAACACTAATCTTAAAAGGTTTATGAGAGCAGCATTATGCTGTAGACAAGCAAACACCATTGCTGTGTTTACACCAGCGTTTCCCATCTAAAAACTTTGAAGTGAAGAATAGCAACGGAAGTATGTGTGGGGGGGAGCAGACTGTGTCACGTGGTAGCCACTTACATATTGTCGACTGCCATTAAGTGGAGATAAGTGAACCAAACCAGGAAGTGCAAATGCCACTGTGGTGTACTCGCACTGAGCCTCAGAGATCAGTCGGGGGGGGGGGGCATGGCCCAATAACATCACTGATTTATGCTAGTCTCTGGCAGGGGTCGTTTTGTAGAAAAAGAGCTAGGGGAACTCATTAGCATAACTCATTAGCATATGCCACACCCCCTGACATCACCGGAAGTGTCATAAGGCCACACCCCCTGACATCACCGGAAGTGTGTCATAAGGCCACACACCCCGCCCCCAACGGTCCCGCCGACGCCGCCGGCCTTGCAGCTCCACTGCCGAGCCCCATGAGGGGCCTGGCGGTGGATCTGCAAGGCCGGCGGGAGTGCAAGGAAGCCCCGTGAAGGCCCTCCCTGGCTCCAGGCAGGCAGGGGTGGGGAGAGGCAGGGAGGAAGCAACTTACCCTCCCTCTTCTCCTGCCTCCTCCTGGCTGAATGAGGGCCGGAAGCGGGGCGGCCGGAAGCAGGGGGCGGGGCTTCCTCATGTGCCACGCCCCCCGTACCTCACCCGGGGAAACTGCGATCCCCCCCGAAATGACCTCTGGCTGGACAATATAAATAATTTACGGCTTTTCCTTGTAGGCTATTATCTACAATGGAAACACTGCAATTATCCGTTATATTGTAAAGACAAAGAAATTGTTTGGTGATATCTGTGCTCACATTTTCTGTAGGGGCCATAGCTTAGGGATGGCAGAGCATCTGTTTGCTTGCAGAAGATCCCTGATATAATCCCTGGCATCTTCAGCAAAAAGGATCAGGTAGCAGGTGATGGGAAAGACTGTACCTAAGAGAATACAATACTGACCTTGCTAGACCAGTGATTTACTTAGTGATTCTATTTAGTGATCTCTAAGGGAGCGTCATGTGTTTGGAATGAAGTGAAAATGTTAAGGTCTAAAAAGAAAGAAAAGTGCTGTTAAACTTCTCAGGAAAAAAAGTTAGTTCTATGCCGCATTTTCCCTTTCCTTACTTGCATGCATACATTTTTGTGCGCAGAAGAGAAGAAAAAAAGAGATGAGAAGAGACTGGATTTATACTCCGCCCTTCACTACCTGAAGGAGTCTCAGAGCAGTTTACGATCTCCTTTCCATTCCCGAGAACTGCCCTTGAGAGAACAGCTCTGAAAGAACTTGTAAATGACCCAAGGTCACACCAGCAGCTGCATGTGAAGGAGTGGGGAATCAAACCCGGTTCTCCCAGATTAGAGTCCGCGCTCCTAACCACTACACCAAACTGGCTCTCAAGATAGATAAAATTGCCTAGCTTGGGTTTTTTACGTTGTCTTACTCTACAGCCTCCTCAGTTCTCAGATTCTGATAGTGGGAAGCAAATGCTTCGAGTAAACGGTACCCAACTGTGGACCAGTATGTGATGCTGATTCTGCCGCAGGAGATACCTCTCTGGTGTTGCAGGCAAACAGGCCAGTGTAGATTTTCAAATTAGAATGTAAGTTATTTACTACAGCAATGATTAAAGTAAATACACAACTGAAATAAACATGATTTTACCTTAAATTAATGCAAGGAACGGGGGGGGGGGGAATGCGGTAATAATGCATTTAAACAGTTCTAGCTAAATACAAAAGTGTTATCTGATGTGCAAAATTGCATTTTGTGTTCCTAAATGGTTCCTTCATGGCCTATCAGCTTTATTTTTGGGCTACAAACACGACAAAGAAATCAGGCTGATGGTTCTTTTAACTGGGAGATGGTCACTGTTGTAATTTCAAACAGTTAGTCTGGATATGGGACATTTGGAGAACTGGAAGCAATAACTGGAAAGCATCTTGTATGTAAGCAGTGCTGTTGCAGCCCTAAAGGGAAAAGAAAATACCTGTCAGCAACATATTATTATTATTGTCATCCACATATCTTAATGGTCTAACGCTGCTCATCTTGAAATAAGTAGAAACTGCTTTCATATTAGGGCAGTGGCACCAATTACGATCTTTGAGATAAACACAACAATCAACAAACCTCGTTTCATGCTTGTCTGATGACCCTGGCTGGGACAGAGTTTCCACACACATATACATATATCTAAGTATCCATGCATGTGTGTGTCCTGTCCACATAAATACCCATACACACCACACACACATACATATATATGTGTGTGTGTATACATATATGTATATATACACACACACACGCTACATCTTTGCTGAGAGCACCACTGATGTTTTCTGCAGCTATCATCATTGGTAAATTTAAGAAAAAGGTTTCTTAAATTTGAGGCATAAATCCAATATTGTGATATAGTCCAAATGCCATCATATAAGGATATGTATTCACAAAAAATAGTCAAATACTTCTGTAATTGATGCCATTACTAGAGACAGGAAGAGGACCAGTTTTTGTACTCGTATATACATTTATCTGCCAACCCAGGTTACAGCTTCATGCAAATAGGGGTGTCCACAAAAGATTATGCCCTGATACATATGTTAATCTTTAAGGTGCCGCAAGACATGAGAGAAGCCTAAATTCCTGCCATTTTCCATCCTAACCATGAACTGACCTTGAAGAGACAAGTAAAGTGTATTCATGCATAAAAATTATCCTGTAGTTACATGCAAATCCTTTAAGGGAATTGCTGAGGATTAAATCTGGAATTATCTGTTAGTGTTTCAAGACTGTGCTGAAATAACACTAGCCCATTTGGGTCTAGCAGCAGAAATTCTTAAGTAGCCACCGTGCAGAAACCAGTATCCGAGTTGCATAGGTATCATCTGTTTCGCCAGGATTTGTTTTTTGTTCTTAGGCTGGGTATGTCTGCTGCTTTGCTACTAGAGACACAGAACGTACAGGCTTGAAAATATGGTGAGGCAATATTATGGAAGGTAGTCTTGTCAATGTTTACTAGGGTGTTAAAAAAAATTAAAGCAAGATGAAAATCAGCACTCCCATTAGAGCAGTACAGGTGCAGTCAGCCTTAAAAAGAGGGGGGAAATAAACCTGGAACAACCCAACCAAGGCTGCGATTTCACACACAAAATAATCAACTTTCAATGCACTTTCAATGACTTTCCAACTGGATTTTGCCAGTTCACACAGTAAAACCCAGATGGAAAGTGCACTGAAAGTGGGTTGAAAGTGGATTATTTAGTGTGTGAGATCGCAGCCCCAGTGTTCAAAATATTTCAGAGTCAAGAAGGGCGGAAGGACTGCACTGTTTGAGATTAGGGATTTCCAGGGAAACTTGCAGAAACACACCTCACAGTACAGATGCTTCCGCAAGTGACAAAGTAGCTGGATACAGGACATTCCCTCAGCAACTTCAGATAGTGGTTGACAGCTTAGAAAATGCAACTTCCAAGGCATGCAAGGAATAGCTTGGTTTGGATGCTGTCACAATGGGAGCGCTAATTCGTGTGTTGTCTGAATCCTGTACACTGAAGAACTACAGTATTTCGAGACGAGAAAAGAATGAAGAGGGTGTGTGTGAAGAAGACAGCTTAGGGCCAGCTTCTACACCACCAGCATCATTTCCTGTGCAATCTGCACTGAAATCTGTGTTTTATATATGTACTTTCCTTCTGGTTATAGGATTGTATTATAATGTTCTTAGTTTGTTAGCTGCCTCGGTGGCCCTGATTAGGCAGAAAGGTGGAATATAAATTCTGTAAGTAAACAGAATAAATAAAATCGGGGGGTTTCCACAAGAGCTCGTATGAATATTTAACTCAGACAGGACAGAAAGTGCACTTAGCTTTTCAAAGGAAGGGTAAGTTGGAAGTAACTGTCCAGAGAAAATATCTGATTCTTTACGAAGAGGGAAACATTATTCAATACCAGCACTAGTGCAATGTATTTTTCGAACAAGAAAGCAAAGCAAAAGTATATATATATCTTAAAGTTAAGTTTGATTGTTGCAATGGTGTTGAAAAATGTAATTTTTGGTTGGGTATTTGTTTGTTTGTTTATCTATATTTGTTTTGTCTTTAAAATTCAATAAAGAAATTATTTTTTAAGAAGAAAGCAAGCAAAGCAAACTTGCTGAATTTAATGTAAATTGTTGATTTGCCCCACTCTTTTTCGTATATTACAAACAGCTGAGAAGATGCATTTCATTTCTGTTTTAGAAACAATCCTATAAAGCCTCAGAAAGTGGAACAAGAGCACTATGACTAAGCCTTTGCAGATGGCTGACAGGCGTGCGAAGCAATGCTGTTTATGAAAATAGCACAGAATTACACTGATATAACCATTCGGTTTTATGGCACTTTGTAGACACATAAATGCAGGCGTAGCCTCGTCTGAAAATGACTGCAAAGTGATTTCTCATATAAAGTAGCTACACGCTTACCTCTAATAGTACACTATTGACCATTGGATTAAGGACCTCAGCTTTTTTGTCGCTCTGTTTAAAATGAAAACACAGATAAGGTTTAATCCTAGAACTATGCAAAGAAAACAATAATGTGCTGGCTGGGACCACTGATGTTCTGAAGGCACTGTGGCAATAAACACACATACATTCAAGATGGAACATAAAAATACACTTTTTATTAGTACCGGGAAAAGTAAAATGAGCATTGACATACTCTTACAAAAAGGGTCATTTTCTAAGAAAAAGGGGTAGGGGAGTTAAAGATGCTTTCTAAGCCACTCGTCCCAGTCCAGAGTTGAAACAAACGGGACAATTTAGTTGCAACTGAAGTGCCACTGCTTCCAACGGAATACAATCGCTTTCGACAGACCAACAACCTTCCCCTACTCTGGGGGCAGTGGGCACAACCAAAAGAAAGTTAGCTAGATTTAAATTCCGCTGATACTTCTGGATCCTTAACCTGCAGCAGAGCTTCCTCCTCCCCCAGCACTGCAGGCACTCCACTTTCCCTAAGCTCTCTGCCTCTTGTTCCTGCTACGACCTGCAGTCCATGGTTGTGGTGGCTTTCTCAGAAGTGCTGTCACTTCCTTTGTTGTTTCTGCCTGCCTTCAGAATCAGTGGCTTCAACTAATCCCTCGACTCCCCATCCTGTCCTTTACCATTTTCCTGACCTAAATCTCTCCTCCTGTAGCCCAGTGAGCCAACTAGTGCCAACCTAACTTTTTCAGGCCTGGCCTTTGCCTGGTGGAATGAGCTCCCGTGTGAGATCAGGACCCTGAGGGACTTACTGCAGTTCCGCGGGGCCTGCAAGACGGAGCTCTTCTCCCAGGCATTTGGTTGAGGCAGTGGACGTCCCCTCCCCCCCAGCTTTTCTGGCCCTACGTTTTTCAGTCCAATTGTCCATCAGGCCTGTTCTGACTAGTCATCTGACAATTTTTATAATTATACGGTATTTCATGATTTTATGTGTAAATTGTCATTTTAATATTGTTTTAATTGTATATTGAACTGCTGTATATCGCCCTGAGCCCATCTGGGAGGGTGGTATATAAATCTAATAAAATAAATAAATAAATAAATGCTTCCTTAACAATGGAGGCCCAGGTAGCAGCCACTGCCAAGACAGCCTTTTACCATCTCCGGCTGATCCGGCAGTTGGTTCCCTTCCTCAAACGCAATGATCTGGCGTCAATGATCCATGCAATGGTCACCTCAAGATTGGACTACTGCAATGCTCTCTACATGGGGCTGCCCTTGGTACAACTCCGGAAGCTGCAGCTGGTGCAAATGCAAATTCCCCACTCCTCCACTTGCACCTGGCTGGATGACCTTGGGCAAGCCATAGTTCTGATAACAGCTGTTCTTGAAAAAAGAGCAGTTTCTGTTCGAGCTCTCTCAGCCCCACCTACCTCACAGGGTGTCTAATGTGGGGAGGGGAAGGGAAAGGAGTTTGTAAGCCGCCCTGAGACACCTTTGGGTAGTGAAGGGCGGGGTATAAATCCAATCTCCTCCTCCTCCTCCCTCTAATAAGTGATGGCGGCATTCTTTCGGCATCCAGATAGTTAACTACCACCATAGTCTGGGTTCTTGCCAGGCTGTTAGTTATTAAATTGGTACTGATATTGAGGCCAGGGCCACAGTATTGGGAGGCGGGACTCTAATCGAAAGCCCTGCAGAACTGCCGTACGATAATTATTATTACTATTCTCGGGGTAGGAGCCGGCCTCATGTTGTTACTCAGTAAAGAACCATGCTCCCTGAGGGCACTATACACATAAATAAATAAACGATACCAATTATTAACCCAGCCCTGAAGATGAGAGATTGTAAAACAGATACGAAAGCGAGGGTGAAAAAGAAAGTAGGTGGAGACAATGAAAGCAACAGCACTGTTTCAAAGTTAGTGATAATTACTAAAATCTAGTACATGTCCCTGTTCTTATTCTGGTACACATAAACCTCCAAAACAGAAAAAGAAATGATTGCCTATTAAACAATATCGACTGATAGAATCAATGGTTGGTGCACCCAGTGTGAAGGAAATCTATAGCCATAAAGACGAGAGATGCTTACCGTCCCTGAATAACTGCTGACTTGTCACGACAAGGCCAGAGTTACAAGACAGTTATTGAATATCCGAACTGTGTAGCAGTTCTGTAGAGATGCTATTAATCTGGGGAACCTCATCTACTCTAAATCTACTGGTTTATATGGTCCTCTTACCTCTATTCCTTGGCCTTGTTAACAGTCTTAAAATAAATTAATTGCACATCTGGAAAAAAATTAATCGGTCTCAGCCCATACAAGAAGATGGCGAGGCCACTGACTTAGACAGGACTGAGGAATTATCTTCATTTTATACTTTGTACTCAGGTACACATACTCATTTCGAGACCTGAGTGCCGTGTGATGGAGTGAGCTCGTCTCTGGCCCCAGCTCCTGCCAACCCAGCAGTTTGAAAGCAAGAAATTGGAAGTAGATAAATAGGTACTGCTTCGGTCGGAAGGTAACAGCGTTCCGTGTGTCTCAGCGTTTAGTCATGCCAGCCACATGACCACGGAAATGTCTTCGGACTGTGCTGGCTCTTCGGCTTGGAAACAAAGATGAGCACTGCCCCCTAGAGTTGGATTCGACTAGATTTCGAGCAAGGGAAACCTTTACCTTACATGTGCTCAGCTTACAAAAAATAGAAATACCTGCTACATGTGTATTACTAGGAGTTTTTCAGAAGCCCCGTAAACATTTCAACTCTATCAGTACAACCCTAAGAACACTTTCCTGGGAGTAAATCCCACTGACTAAAATGGGACTTACTTCTGAGTAGAGCTGCTTAGGTTTGCGCCCTAGGTTACTGCTGCATACCTTGACTTTGGAAGACATCTTTATAGGACAAAGAAATAGTGTAACTTCCAACGCAAACAGTAACATGTTAATAATACTTTCCTGGGAGTAAGGCCCCTGAATAGACCCAAGGAAGATTTTGAGTAGATACTGCTCCTATTAGGGTAACCCTAAGCATAGCTATAGCCTTCTAAGTCCACTGAACTCAATGAGTTTAGTAAAGGTAAAGGTTTCCCTTGCTCGAAAGCCAGTTGAATCCGACTCTAGGGTTGCGGTGCTCATCTCCGTTTCCAAGCCGAAGAGCCAGCGCTGTCCGAAGATGTTTCCGTGGTCATGTGGCCGGCATGACTAAATGCTGAGATGCACAGAATGCTGTTACCTTCCCACTGAAGTGGTACCTATCTATCCACTTGCAATTTCTTGCTTTCGAATTGCTAGGTTGGCAGGAGCTGGAACTAGAGACGGAAGCTCACTCCGTCATGCGGCACCCGGGTCTCGAACTGCTGAACTACCGACCTTCCACAGCCTGCAGTTCAGCGTCTTAACCACTTGAGCCACCGCAGCTCCGTACCCTTAGAAGTACCCTTCTAAGGTCGTGGTCACACGGATGTTTAGTGCGGGACTCGCAGCTGATTTCTCCCGCAGTAAAGTTTCCTGTCTACATTCTTTCCCGGACTCGCAGCTGATTTCTCCCGCAGTAAAGTTTCCTGTCTACATAGGCAAACCCGCTTCCCGGTCCGAAGCCGGCAGACTCCCGCGGTTTCTGATCTTTTATCCGCGTTTTTTTGACACCTGTTGGAACAGGTGTTTTCTGACATCTCGCGCTTTGTATCCGCGGTTTTGGTTATCTGGACAGCAATCCGCCGTGACCGCGCTACCCTCCCCCCCGTTGGTTTTTGTGTGTGTGTGTGTTTCCGGTTTTAGCTATGCGCTTGTGCAAACAGGCGCTAGCTTTTATTTTGGTCTTTTAGATCCCACCGAGGCCGCCGTCTGCGCCCAGCTGTCAAACAAGAAAAAAACCCTGCTGAGCACAGGCAGAGCCGGGAACTTTGTTGGGAGGGAGCGAGCGAGTTCAAAGCCACTCCCGGGTGTGTGCGCCGGCTGGCTGGCCAGCTAGCCAGCCAGAGCCGCTCTCGCTCGCTCTCCCAACTCGTTCTACCCACACCGCCTCCCCACCCGGGCCGGTCCCTTCTCCGCATGGCGGTGGCTGCACATACACAGACCCACTCCCTTGCCTGCTGCTTCTCCCTCGCTTATCAGTGCAAGGCACCGCGGGAGAGAAAAGGAGGCGGGCTGGGAAGGGAAGCCGCCGCCGGGCAGGGGAGGAAGCCCGGGCAGTGCCTCTTGCCCGAAGGGGAGTGAACTGTGCTTGGGTTGGGGGGGGTGTTTGCCGCCAGCGGGTAGGAGAAAGGACAGCGAAGGTCTTTTTATTAGTTTGTATGTACGCCCGAGCGCATGGGAAGACGAGCGCATGCCCAGATTTAAAAAAACCAAAAAAAAAAACAACCCGCCTGTGTGAACAGTACTTTGCGCGAGGGAAGCGGAAGACAGAGGGACCGTCTGACCACCTCCTAGCGATATAAAATGTCGCGGATATGTCGCGGATATGTCTCGGATATAAGAATTGCGGGAAAACTAGCGCAGTAAGAGGTCCGTGTGACCAGACCCTAAGTCCACTGAACTCAATGAGCTTAGAAGTGTGTAACTCTGCTTAGGGACTGCACTGCAAAACCCCCACCTGTTCTCAACGGTTTCCAGTCCTGATCATAGCTGGGTACAGACTTGTTTACTACGGATATACTATGTCACAGCTGAATCGTTCGAAATTCTACATGATTATATCAAGCAAAAGTGATGAGATCCAGAAGCACCAAGGTCAAAAACTAACATTCACGTAAGATGCTTGGTTCTGAAGTTGGATCAGATTGATATTTCACAGTGAAACTTTTAGGTTTGATTATAAATATTTATCAAGACTTGCCTCAGAGAAATATGATAACACATGCTAAGGAAATGCAGAAATAGACAAATTCCCTACAACTTGCTGCCGCCATAAATTATTTAAAGCGACAGCAGTATGATTAAATTATACTTTTTGGAATAACTCTGAAAAGATGCCGAGTGATGGAAGGGAGATGAAAAAACCCCCAAAAAAACAACGCCCACCAGCACCATGTTTAAAATTCCAC